TGGCTATTGACATAGTCTTGCTCTCATTGCCTAGCTGTTATGATCAGTTCGTTATTACTTATCATTTGAACAAGGAAGAAACTACATTGAGTCAACTTCCAAGCTTGCTGAGAACTTCTGAAAGTGGAATGAAGGGAAAGAGTATTGCCTTCACTCGATCTGCTGCTGCTCCCGTCTTGGCCATTGGGAAAGGGAAGGGAAGAAGAGGAAAGCCCCCTCAAAACAGAACTGGAAGGGAAAGTCTCAGGTCGGGTCCTCAAGTAATGGACCCAAAGGAAAAGTTAGTTCTGAAGCTCCCCCTGCCTCTGATTCTAAGGATGCTACTTGCTTTTAATGCCATGACAAGGGGCATTGGAAACGAAGCTGCCCCAAGTACTTGCAAGAGATAAAGGATGGAAAGGTTAAGCCAACTTCGACAGGTATTTACACTATCCTATCTAAAAACTCATCATATTCGAATTCTTGGGTCCTTAATACAATATGTGGTTTTCACATTTGTTTTGACTTGCATGAACTAAAAAGAAGTGAGGATGTGGAGCATAGGAAGATGAATGCGATAGGAGATTGTCGCTTGTTACCATGATTGGTGTTTATTCTTTAGTGCTTAGTAGTGGGTTATGTTTAGATTTGAAAAATTGTTGCTATTAATCAGAAATGACAAGAAATATTATTTCATTTCATGGTTTATACAGACAAGGTTTTACATATTCTTTTGATAATGAGAATAGATCTATTTATGATTATTATAATGGTGTATTTTATTTCGAAACATTACCTTGTGGTGGCGTGTATGAAACTGTGATGGTTGTAGACAATTTAGGTAATAATGTTTTGCATATTGATTCATCTAATGGCTTAGACAAAGCATGCTTGTGGCATTGTCGTCTTGGAAATGTCAACAAGAAGCGCATTGCCCAACTCCAAAAGGATAGAGTGTTGGCATCATTTGACTTAAGGTCAGATGATACATGCGAGTCTTGTTTACTTGGAAAGATGACTAAATCACCTTTCACTGGTTCTTGTGAAAGAGGTGAATGATTGTTGGATCTCATACACACAGACATGTGTGGACCCTTCAGATCCACCACAACGGATGCAAATCGATTCTATGTGACTTTTTCTGATGATTATAGCAGATATGGATATATCTTAATCAAGCATAAGTCTGAAACCTTTGAAAAGTTCATAGAGTTCAAACATGAAGTCGAGAATCAATTGGGTAGGAAGATCAAGATGCTCAGATCTGATAGAGGTGGTGAGTATCTTAGTATGAAATTCCACGACTACCTCAAGGAATGTGGAATTATTTCAGAACTAACACCTCCTACAATATATCATTAACATATTTGGCATAATTACTATATCAGTTACAAAAGTCCGCTTAATCAAAATCATATTAAAAACCATTAAGAATAATTTAAAGATTTAAGTTCACTTTTCGTATCAAAAGAAACAAGAGACATCGAATTGGGAAAAATATGCTTACGAATGACATAGATACAAAGCTTTTGCACCCCTAGCACACTCTATGTCTCTTCAATACGAATGCATCCATTGTGTTTTTGGATTTTATGCCTTCTGCTTTCCAAGTTGTGCCTCCGCCTCCACCTCCACCTCTACACTGGACTGGAGAGGCGGGAGGGTCAACTGATTTAGGAGAAGTGAGAGGCAAGGTCGATTCTATCACTACCAACACTTAGCCTAATTAACAGAAATCAAGAGAATCATGAAGGTCGAAAATTTAAAGAGAAGCAGGAGGCAATGTCGATCATTTCACCACAAACACTTAACCCTAACTAGGAGAAATTGGCAAAAGCGGGGGTGGAGGGGGGTGTCAATCGATTAAAGAATAAAAGAAGATATTTTATAAGATGGAATACAAAATTAAGATGACATAGTTTTACGAGTGACTATCGTAAATACTTTAGATTTCATTGAAGATGACATTATTTTTATGTCATACGTTTTTTTCTATCATAAATCATGTGTATCGTAGTTAAAGGCCATTTCTCTAGTATTAAACTAAAACAAATAAGTAAGTAATAGTTGTTTATTTTGTATTGATCAAAAGAGAAATGAATAGATAAAAATGTTTATTTATTATTAACTAAATAAAAGAGTTTGGTTGATTACAACACATTTAATTTTTAATAGATTGTGTTGCATATGTTGGCTCAAAAAATAAATAAATAAATAAATAAACAGTCTTGCAAAAGCTTACTTAGTAACTTAGTTTCAAAGGGGAATCATATGCTTAGGCAAAACTCTTGTCTACTCGCTCCCATACCCTTTTACTAGTGTCTCCTTCTCTTCGTTTTGTTCCACAGTTTCAAACGAAGCAAATGAGAGATCAACTTCGATATATGTAGAGGTAATTAACCTATTTCGACTACTCTTCTCCGAAATTGAAGAACCATATAATTAAGGTATATTCTAGCCATCATATGATTTAGACTACTAGGTGTGGGCAACATGTTATTACATGTTACCACACCCAAAAGGTGTCATGTCAGCTTCCTACTCATACATGGGTGTTATAACACCCAAGGTGGAAATGAGCAACGTCTAATAACATGTGATAACACCAATTATTTTCTATTTTATTTTTTATTTTTTTTTGATGTTTTTTTTTTCTATATTTCGAATTTGTTTTATTTATTTATTTATATTTGAAAAGTAAAAATAAAATTTTAATAAAACTTAAATTAAAAACAACATTAAAAAAATTACAACAAAACACAAAAACATTTAAAAACCTAAAAAGCAAAAAAAAAAAAAAAAGATGATAAAACCTACATTTTTTGGCCTAAAACTATTTATGTTCATATTCGTGACCAACATAGATGTAATCCGCCAAGTCTTCACGGAGTTGCTTGTGTGTTCGCTGATCTTGAATATCAACCACTCTATGTAAATATTTCGATGTCCCTGGTTGAAATTGTACATGTCTTGGCTCCGTAGGCGAATACGTTGCAATATTGCGTCATTTATCTTCGACAACCATGTTATGCATTATGATACATGCATACATGATATATCGTAGAGTATCTAACTCATAAGGTCTCGCCGCATGTTCAACTATGTGCGATTTTGATTTCAAAACCCCAAAAGCATGTTCAACGTCCTTACGTGCTCCTTCTTGTCGTCTCTTGAAATATTTGTCCCTTGGATCTATTGGGTGTCGAAACGCCTTCACAAACGTGGAATATTGTGGATATATTCCGTTTGTAAGGTAATACCCAAACTTATATTCATTTCCATTCACTGTGAAAGGAGCATCCGGGGCTTTTCCTGACAAAAGATCGTCAAATATTGGTGATTGATCGAGAATGTTGACGTCGTTGTTAGAACCCGCAACCCCGAAAAAAGCATACCAAATACATAAATCTTGTGAAGCAACAGCCTCTAATACCAACGAAGGCGCTCCATGATGACCGCTCGAACACTGGCCTTTCCACGCCACGGGGCAATTTCTCCATTTCCAGTGTGTGCAGTCAATGCTCCCAAGCATACCCGGAAAACTATGTCTTTCTTCATGCGCCGCATATAGTTGTTGCATATCATGCAACGAAGGTTTGCGCAAGTATTGGTCACCGAAGGTTTCGACAACACCTCTTGCCAATAAATACAAACTTTCTCGTGCGGTCCTCTCATACATTCTCATATAATCGTCAACAGAATCGGACGACTCCCCCATTGCCATAAGTTTAATTGCAGTAACACATTATTACAACCCTGTGAAGCCTTGTTTGCCTCTAGCATCATATCTCATTTGGAAAAATTCATACCTAAATAAATATTAAACATATAAAAATTGTATTTATTTTATCTAAAAGTGACATTTTATAAATTATAAAAGTTGAAACAAACGATACCTAAATAAATATTAAACATGTAAAAATTGTATTTATTTTATCTAAAAGTGACATTTTGTAAATTATAAAAGTTGAATCAAACGATACCTTGCTTCCATAGCGTTGGCTATCATTTCAAAGACATTTTTTCGCAAACGAAATCTTCTTTTGAAATCGCTTGGCTGGTAGACACAGTTTTACGCAAAGTAATCGTTAACTAGCCGTCTATGCCCTTCCTCACGATCTCTATTTAACGCCGCACGTCGCATGAGTAATGGAGCTGGATCTGGCTGTAGTAGGTTGTCTGTATAATACCGGTACATCATACTCACGAACAAATCGTCTTCGTCATTATCATCGTTGTACGGATGGGCCGGATCATTATCATCGTTGTAGAGAAGTATGTGTTTTGTAGGTAAAAATAATATAGGTTATGTGATAGTATATATATAAAACTTGATTTTTTTTATGTTACCGTTTGTTTCAAACGGTCAAAATTATAGTCGTTGAAGCAAAAAACACAAGAAATCACGTACGTTACCTCCCATTGTGGTCATAACGCGTTATACCATAACACCTAATAACGGCTAGGGGGGCGGTGTTCCTCCCGTTATGGCGCCGTTATTAGGTGCCATGTCACTAATAACGGGAACCTTCATTGCCCACACCCGTCTCTCTTAATGTTGCAACATTATAGGTCTAACTGGATCCGTTTGTGAGGATAACTAAAATATAAAAAATTGTTTTTTCTTCCGTTGTGCTTGATTTGTTAACTGTTTTGGAATCGATCAATCAACAATATTTAATATATAAATTTTATGCATTTCTATATTATTTCTAAGGAAGTGTAATCTTTGTTTGTATATGATTTTGCAATATTGGTTCATACATTTTCAACAATTTTTTTCGATTATGTAATTAAAAATGCTAATAATGAATTGTTGAAGTGGTAGTGCAACGAAATTAAAAGAAAAATGTGCATAAAATTAACATTATTGTCAAATGACCAAATTATCGTAAATACAAATTTAAACTAAAATGGAATAGGGTGTTTAGATGTTAATGCACACAAAGCACGAATAATAGTGGCTTTCGAAATGACTAGTCGCCTGGAGATCCATATGTGGAAGATGTACCATTTGTCTCCTATTTTGAAGTGGAAATAGAGGTATCCACTTGAATCTTTATATCACAATCATCGATTGTAGACTTCATGGGACGCCTTATACTAAATGAATGTTCGCTTAAAAGTATAACCACATCGGACATTGTTGGTCTCACTGAAGCCGTTGAATGTGTGCACATCAAGGCTATCTCCACGATTTTCTTTGCATCTTCTATTGCATATTCATTTTGGTCTAGTGTACCATCGATGATATTCAAATGCATTTCATTATCATATAGACTCCTTGCCTATCATAAATGATAAAGAAGAAAGGTTAAAACTGATCTAGAATGGCTCAGCAAACCAAGTCCGAGTTTTAAAATAAATTGGTGCACTTTTAACGGCTGAAAGTTGCACTACAATATTAAGTAGGGGGATTTCACCCCCTTTGTGACTCATATTGTAGACCAAGGGTGCGATTTGATCTCAATACAATTAGGTTATTTGCAGAAAGCCCCAACCAACTGGGAAAGCTCAACATGGATGAAAAAACTAAAATATTAGTTGCATAACTATCAAAGGAAATCTCAATATGTACTAAAGAAGAGAACAAGTTTATAGCTTAACCCAAGATGCTTACAAGATCAACAAGGTTCGGTGTGGCAGATTCATTTTCAAGCATGTCATTGCACCATTTTCCACTGATGATTTCAAGGATAACAACACCAAAGCTGTAAATATCAACTTTCTCAGACAACTGCCCATTATTTGCATATTCTGGTGCTATATAGCCATTAGACCTAGTAAAAGAATCGTAACAATTATTTAGGTTTCACAATCAATGCAAGAGAAAAATGGGATTAGTAAGAACATTATAGCTAAATCGACGTACAAGGTGCCCGTAACTTTGGTGCTGAGATGTGTCTTATCTTGTGGCAATAGTTTTACTAGCCCAAAATCTGCAATTTTCGGCTGAAATACATTGTCCAACAAAATGTTGCTGGATTTTATATTTGTGTGAATGATTTTAACATGGTACTGTTCATGTAGATATGCAAGTCCCCTAGCTGTACCATATATTATGTCGAATCTTTGTCTCCAATTTAAGGTTCCCCTTTTATCACCTAATGAAAAAAAAAATTCTTAATTAGTGCAGAATGAAGACCATTTTAATAACTAATTAAGGACAACGGTTTTAACTTACCGTAGAGAAATTTATCAAGGCTACCATTTTCCATGTACTCAAGGACAAGATACAGGTGTCGCCCTTTACGACAATATCCAAGGAGACGAATGAGATAGCGGTGATGAACATTACTGATGATTTGGATTTCACCATCCAAGTAACCTTTTCCACTCGTAGATGCTATTTCTATTTTCTTTATTGCAACAGTATTTGCATCCTTAAGAACACCCTGGTTCATGCCATATACACAAGAAGTCAAAATAAATAAATAAATAAATAAAACTTGCCCCTCTTAACTCTTAATTAATAATGAAAGTTTACTGTATTGGTCACTACTTGTACAATTCTTTCTAACATTTATTTTTGTAATTAAAATGTGTATAGAATAATGTAGGATTGATATTTTCCAAGTGACCAGGATTTTCTAATAATAAGCTACCTAGAACCTAGAGGTCATGACTTTGAATTGCATGCACCCTACATATGAGATAGTATTTTAAGGGTTTCATAAAAATCCGTAGTTAGAAATTTAGTTACTTTATGAAGATATAAATCGATTTTAATCATTATTGGCGTCAGATAGCTTTTGGATCACCCTAGATTTGAAGGTATTTTGTTTTCTATTAGAAATTCGACTCCATGCATTATTTATGGTTAATATAACTGATAAAGAAATTGATTGAGAAATTACAAAGAAGTTTGCATGTATTCAATAGTTTAATGTTCAGAGTTTCTTTTACACGTATCGAGTGGTGTGTGGGATTGTTTCAGGAGCTACAGAAGTATTACCTTATACAACCTGTCAAACCCGCCTCCGATTTTATTTTGGTCGGAAAAGTTATTTGTCGCCATTTTTAAATCTTTATATGTATAAACAGTCGTCCTTTGCAGCATATCAGTTGCTCCAGTTGACTTGTCTAATAATTCCAGATTAAACATAATCAGTATACTTAAATTATGTAATAGTTGTAATTAATGATGTAAAATCACATAGCTCTCAAATTAAAAAAGCCATGCAACATTTTTAATGATGCTAGCTGAGTGAAACTTAATGGTATGTTCACCTTCTCTGGAGTGTTTTGGCTTTCTCGATCTATGATGCCAAAAGAGGAATGCCAAGATGAACAACAACATGCATACACCACCAACAACTCCCCCAACAATGAATCTTAGATTTCTTGAATTTTCTGTCAACCCCATGATCATTACATTAGCATTGGCAATACAAAGAAGAAAAATATATGAAATTGTGGATCCCTGGTAATGTCGTCTTTTTATATATAGTCTTAATTATGGTTTATTCATATACAAGAGTCTATACATATGTTTTTAGTAACAAATTTGTCTGTTTTTAGTAACAAATTTGAGCATGATGATATAACTCTACTTTATATATATGTGATAATAAGAAAAATAGAAAATATAACCTTTAGAAGATCGAAGCTATAAAATATCAGAAGTCATGAAATCCAATAATAATGTTCTAGAAGAGAAAAACTGTCATACCGTTCTGTAAGAGATTTGAGATATCAGTTGTTTGATTGAATTGGAAAAATGGAGTTTCGGAATACTTCATAAAACATCCATCATCAATTGCCCTTCCTAATGTACTCGGAAGACAGTCCGCTAAAAATCTAGATCTGATCTTTAAACATTCTACACACATACTTTCACTTATGTTGCGGACACATTGTGCAACCGCATAAACTGTAGCATTACTGCCAGTAATTTGCCTTGTGGAAACAGCAAAAAAATTTGATGTTTTTGGGGTTGCGATCTGAAGATCTGAAAGCAACCCACTTGCTATTTTCTTCAGTTCCTTTGGATATGATGATGTTGTATTGCCACATATTGCAATGCTAGTTTTCACGATGGCGTCATTGTAGAAATTTCTGTTTTCATACCTGCATCAACACAAACTCCGAAGGTTAGGTTATCAATATAGGAGGAAACAGACACAGATTTCTACGAATCTTAAACATCTTTAGATACCGAAAGCTGAAATTAACCCAATAACCTGATCTCGCAGTCATCATAGAAAATATGAGCACCATTCCCCAGGCCACATACTTTCATGTAAGAAACAGCGGTGTCAAAACAAGACAGACACGCTGTAGTGGGGAGATATTCCCTGCACAAAGCTAGACCAAAAACCGATTCGCCATTAATCACAGCCTTCGAGACTGCGTGATAATTTTTGACTCTGGATAACTGCTTTCTGAGGCTAGAAAGGGTGGTGTTGAGGTTTTTAAGAAAAACCTGTCCGTTCATGCCTCTGTAGCTACTACAATACCATCTGATCATTGTGTTATTTCTGTCGATCTTCTGTGATGTCACTGGTCGTTCCATTAATACGAGGATCACAAGAACACTTGCTACCCACCACCATGACCGGAGATTTGAGTTCAGTCTCATGCTATCCTACCTCCTAAAATTTTAATTGTTTAGTTTCTATTTAGTTTGACATTACTTGTTTCTATATCAAGAAGACAAGGCGGGGGTCCGTCCGTTCTTTATAGGAGATGGCTTTAAAGTGCATTCATGATTTTGTGTAGTTTAAGAATATAAAGGCAAGTTTTATACAGATAATATATAATTTTAGAGAATTTTTTATTGTTGAAACATATTTTAAAGACCAATCAATAATATTTCGAGGTCTGACTTAACTTGTAAAAAACATTTATGGATAAAATATGTTCATGTTATTACAAGTATTATAACATATACGTGTTATTGTTTATCAAAGTGTTAAAGACAAAAGAGTGAATTACGTAAATGGCACATGTAACCGATTTACAAAAAATTAAAAAATGTCAGTACTAAAAAAATGCAATTTTATATATATATATATATAAAATGTCATTACTAAAAAAATGCAATTTTATATATATATATATATATATATATATATATATATATATATATATATATATATACTAGTTTATAACCCGTGGGAACCACGGGTTATAAAATTAATTCAACTTTCATAGTAAAAATTTATAATTATATAAAAAAAAAAAAAAAAAAAATTTAAAGTCATTATAATTTCAAATTTAACATATAATTAGAAAAAGTAAATTTGAATTTTGAAGTGTTGCCTAATATATCTCCTTGATATGTGGAATGAAGAATTGTATTTAAGTGACACATGTCAAAAGAAGATTCAACCTATTTATTTATTAGAAATATATATATATATATATATATATATATATATATATATATATATGGCTAGGTTATTTTGTTTTTTACATTTATTGTGTACTATAATGCACTAATAGAAATTTAGTAAATTAAATAATTATTTAATTAAATAAATATAGATATTAAATGATTTCCATAATTATATGTATATTAAATGATATCCATAATTATAATTATCTTTTTATGGAAACTAATTAAATCCGTCATTAACACTACAAGAAAATCACCCTTTAACGGCGACGCTATTACCGGCGACGAAGGTCTTTAGCGGCGACTCTAGAGATTGTCGCCGCTAAAAGCCCATGCCGCCGGTAATAGCGTCGCCGCTAAAGGGTGATCACCCGAATCCGCGTTTTCCCCTTCCGTTACATCTAAATCGTTCGATCAAATATTCAATCCAACGGTTGGGGTCATTTATCCGAACTAACCTAATACCGGCGACATATGTGTCGCCGCTAATAGTTCACTAAAAAATGACGCGGTACCCCTCCCTCCAGATTGTCGCCGCTATTGATAAGTGTCGCCGGTAAAACCTTATTTGTCGCCGCTAAAGGCGTCGCCGGTAAAGCCTCTCGCAGATAAAAAAAACGCACGCAGTAGACTTCATTCTTCCATATTCTGCTTTTTGTTTACCTTCGCTACCCTTCGCCCCTTCCAACTTCTTCCGAGTTCATCTTTAATTTGCTTGTTCCATCCCGATTTCTCCCCACATTGTGTCATATTAAGGATATTAAGGATGAAGGTGTGATTTGGGACCAATTTCTAACTCAATTTCTTGAAGAAAGGTAATTTGATTTGATAATTTCTTTTATAATTTCCTTGTTAATTTGTATGTTAACACTGAAAAAGTGTTGATTAAATTTCTAAGATTTGGTAATTTAATTTGTATGTTACCCTTGCAAATATTGTTGAAGAGATTTGTGACATCTTGGATGGCTCCCAGGTTTTGTTGGAGGACATTTGACCTTACAAGTAAGGAAACATCATCTTTACTGTCGATTTGTAGCTTCATCGGGTGAATAGCAGTTTTTCCAGCTACATATCCGTTGATTTCCGCCACTACAGGTTCTATTATTTCATTTTTTTGTGAATTTGGTATTTGTATGTGAAAATTATGTGAAAATTGCCATATGTGAAAATTGTGTGTATATTTGATATTTGTATGTGAAAATTGTGTGTATATTTGATATTTGATGTATGTGGTATATGAGTATTTGGTAGAACTATATATATGATATGTGAAATTATATGTATTTGTTATAAGTAGGATGTTATTGTGTGTATGTGAATGTATGTATGTTTGTTGTAAATGTGGTATATGATTGTGAAATTTTTGTATTTGGTATAAATAGGATGTTATTATCTATATATGTGAAATTATGTGTATTTGGTTTAAGTAGGATGCTATTTTGTGTGTATGTGAATGTATTTGTATTTGGTGTATATGTGGTATATGTATGTAAAAGTATGTGAATTTCATGTTCTTATGTATTATGTAAAAGTATGTGGTTTTTGTATAAGTAGGATGCTATAATTGAAAAAAATAATAATAATAAATTATTGTTATAATTGCAAAAAAAAAAAAACACAAAAACACAAAAAAAATGTTATAAAATTGTTAGGGTACTATACACATATTCATGTGTGTATTGAATATTTTTTTGGGGGGTTTGAACTTTGAATGATTATCCATTTTTTAAATCATGTCATTTTGATTATTGTGGCAAAGTGTTAAGAATCACATTTTAATCTTTGAATAGATGTGAATATAATAAAATTAAAATGATTATTTAAAAACCAAATTGTCAATACGCACCAAAACAAATATGATTTTTAGGAAAACGATAAAAATTACTTATCAAACCTGTTTTAAATACTTTTAAGTCATATTTCTTATTATTAATAATTTTATTACTAGAAAAAAAATGAGAATAAAAAATATCAAAATAATATTAGTAAAAGCTTTACAAAATAAGATTATTATAATTGACAAAAATAAATCAGCACTCTAAAACCAAAAATTATTGCTACAAACTCTTTTTAGTGATTAACTTTTCCAAAATCGTCCAACCCCGAAATAACGTACTTATACATGTTATAAATAAAAAATATTTTTTTTTTAATCTCGACGGTAAATTACAAATACTAGAAACAACAACACAACAACATAATATGTTACAAATATATATATTTTTTAATCTCGACGGTAAATTACAAATATATATATATTTTTTAATCTCGACGGTAATCTCCACGGTAAATTACAAATGCTAGAAAGAACAACATATTTATAATGTTATAAATAAAAAATATATATATTTTTTAATCTCGACGGTAAATTAAAAATATATATATTTCTAGTTTCTACTCAAGCTAACCCCAAATTAACCAATAAGTTATATAGTTAACTTATAATCTTCAAATTAACTTATAATGTTATATTTCTATAGTTTCATATTTATATTTAATACTTACAACTTTTGCCTATATAAATTACAAGTAATTGTAATTAAAATTAATTAAAAAAACGCATAAATAAAAAATTTTAATTTAATTTTTTTAATTTTTAATTTTTTTATTCTTTTAATTGTAAAAAAAATGTGGATTGGAAAAAAAAAACAATGCTAATTTTGTATACTAAACTCTAAACCCAAAATTATGTTTCAGCAACATCATGTCTATTGATAAAAGCTGGACTACTAATCCATATCGAAACCATCCCGAGTTCCAAGCAGGACTCAGCTTTTATCGAGAAGTCCAAGTCACACCTTGATAGTAATGGTAAAATCAGATGTGCGTGTGAAAAATGTGATAACCGTTACTTCAAGTACCCGACTGCAGTTGAACCCAATATATTTATAAATGGTTTCAGTAAGTCGTACAAAATTTTGATATATCATGGTGAATCTTTTATTCCTCCAGTCGTCTTGCCAAGTAACAAAATGACCGATTTAATCGACGATGTGATGTGGGAGTCGAGAGAAAATGATACCAACCTTGATGAAGGAACCTCGAATACAAGGGGTAGCGGTGTGGATGATGATTTTGCACAGTTGTTGGAAGAAATGGAAACTAAATTGTATCCTGGTTGCATCTTTTCTTCCCTTGAGTTTCTAGCAAAGTTAATGCATATCAAGGTGAACAACAAATGGTCATCAACATAGGAAATTCAAATCTGAGCATCCCCAAAGTGATGAAAAGAGAGAATTTCGTAATTGGTTTCGTGAAAAGGTAATATAAATTAATAAACAAATTTGTTTCATTTATCTAATGAATACATAATACATATTAATTTATAATTGCTAGGTTCATCAAATGAAAATAGAAAACTCTCCAGAATTCCACAAAGAGTTGTCGGCTCTTGCAATGGGTCCGCAAATGAATGCTTATTCTTACACCGCATGCATAGTCAATGGTGTTAGGTTTATGGTACTTAGTCGTGACACACAACGTACAACACAAAACTCTGGGGGTTTAGCGGTGGGTGAGAAAAGCGAGAAATATTATGGCCAGTTAGAAGAGATTATAGAGTTGAGGTATACACATGATTATTCAACTGTACTATTTCGTTGCAAGTGGTTTGATACTCGAACATGAGTTATTTCTAGTGATAATTTCACCAGTATCGACACACGACGCGAAGCATACAAAGATGATCAACTCATATATGCTTCACAAGCCAAACAAGTGTTCTACATCAGAGAGCCAAACAATAATCATCGGTATGTTGTCAAGCATGTTAATCATCGAAGTATTTGGGATCTACCATCGAACGATGACCTTGTTCAAAATGTTGACAATGTCTCACACGAAAATGTAGACAATTTCGATGTACTTCAAAATATCTCTTCATCCGATGCTCCACTTTTTATCGATTTCAGCATGTACTTTCAAAACATTCCTAGAGTCATTGTTGATGTAGAAAGTGCAACTGAAGTTCCTCCGCCAACTGGTAGCGTCAATGATGTTTCTGATTGCGAGACTGATTACGATGAGACCGATTATGATTATGATACCGAAGAAGACACTGAAGGATATGAGGAAGATTCTGATTAGAATAGTTCTTATGTAATGTGTATTTGTAATATGTGTTTGTAATATGAACTTTATTTGGATTTCTAGTTTAAATAGAAATGTGTATTCCTATGTAAATGTTTATTTCTATGTAATGTGTATCTGTAATAAAAATTGTATTTGTATATCTTATAATT